AAACGTCAAGAGAGAGAACTTCTGTAAATGTACAGTGATGCAGATTACATAAGTAGGGCATAAGTTTTGCAGGAGCTTTTTGTTCTCAGACTAGATTCTGTCTTACAGATTTGCATTCTTCTCTGCAGAGAGATGCTCTAAAGACACTAAAAATTTTCCTGGATTCTGTAGCCCCATATGTCATTCTAGCAGCATCTTTTATTTCTTTCTTCCTTTCACTCAGTCATGTAATCATGTTTTAAACTCCTGCTGTTTTCTGAAATATTTGTATATGTACGCAGACAATATAATTATTTGAGTTTTAATCTTTATTACAGAGTAGGTAAGATTTCTGTTTTCCTAAGACCGTCATTAGAAGTTAGCCATAAGCTGCATACCCTCACAATCTTATCTTCTGATGAAGCAAACCAGTACTATTATCTGTCCATAATAAGACCCTACATGCCTTTTGGGCATGCCCCAAGGGTGTGACTGCCAGGATACACCTCAGTGAGGTAAAGACTACCAGGGAATTGGGTTATGCAACAATTCAGTCATACTGGGCAGTGTATCATGCCAGCACAGTTAACCTGCCTTGGTCCCTTATCTGCTCTGCGGACGCCCCTTTAGAATATTTGGGTCACACTTGCTTATTTGTGACTGTCAATAATAGCAGATTTCCCACTTCAGCAGGCATAGCTATGTTGAAAAATATTCAGATCCTGCAGTGAGAAATGCATAGAAGTACCTGAGATTGCATCTATATTTATGTGGCATAGCAGCCCTGAAGCTGGGCTTCAATCCAGATTTGCTGCTTGTCCCCACCCTCAAGGCCAGGTCACTCTCAAAGATAATGTCTATAAATGTCAATGTCTATAAATATCTGAAATGTTGGGGCCAAATGGATGGGGCCGGGCTCTTTTTGGTGGTGCCCAGTGACAGGACAAGGGGTGATGGGCAAAAACTGGAACACCAGAAGTTCCAGACAAACCTAAGGAAAAACTTTACTGTGAGGGTGATGGAGCACTGGAACAGGCTGCCCAGAGAGGTTGTGGAGTCTCCATCTCTGGAGATGTTCAAAACCTGCCTGGATGCTTTCCTGTGCAACCTGGTGTAGGGAATCTGCTTTGGCAGGGAGGTTGGACTAGATGATCTCCTGAGGGCCCTTCCAACCCCAACCATTCTGTGATTCTTTGCTAATATAGATAATAGCGAAGATAATGTTTCTCCTAAGGTGATGCCATGGGCAGGGTAGGCTGTATTTTGTGAAGGCCTGTTCTGCAGATTGTGTGTACCATGCCACTCCACCTGTTTCTGTTCTCTCAATCTGCCTGCCTAGTTTCGTTACAGGATCAGTGTCCAGCAGGCAGGATGGCGTAAGGGTCCTTCTTAAAAAGACTCATAATACTATCATCTGCAAAGGATATATAGAAAGCCTGAACTCAAACAGTGCTGGGGGATGTTTTACTTCTAGATAGTCTCAGAAGTCTGCTAATTCAGTGAATATAAACAAATACATAGGAAAGAAAATTTCTGTGGGAACTGACGCTAGCAAAACCAGGTTTGGAGATAAAGTAATAAAAAGTAGGATGTTGAAGAGACTCTGATTAGCTAATCCGTGCCTCTGCCTCTAAGCAGGATTAGCAATACCTGAAAAATATTAGGTTACTTTTTTCATTCTGGAGATTAGATGAGAAAACATGCTGACATCAAAGTTATTTGAACCTTTTTTAAACTAGGAGCTAAGGAAGCAGGTCAGAGCAGTGAATTTCTATGCAAGATTCATTGGTCCGTGCAAGGATAATTCCTTTCAGGAGATGGAACTAAGATATTTAAAGGGCACATCAACTATTCATGACTTTTTCTGTACGCTGTAGCATCCTACTAGAAATTCACCTTGATGTGATCTGGGTTGTTACACTGGATAAAGATGTCTTTGCATTTGGAAGTAAAAAGATGCATAAGTGGCATTTTTAAATTACAGGATTTTCTCTCTTGCCTGTGCCTATATCCACCACAACATTGTCCCAGCCTGAGCTTTTTTCTTGAGAAGAGGCTGTGCCTTTTGTGGGCAATTGAATTTTTTGCCATGGGTTGTTTTTCTTCTTTGTGGAAAAATGGATAAATGTCTTTAATGCCCAAACCTTCATTCTGCTCTGTACTGAACTACTGATGTTTTTGTGTGAGAACACTGTCAACCCCTTTCCTTTTCCCCAAAGAGCAAAAAAACTGTTCTATGTATTATCTGTAATGCAAACAGAGTTGGCCATATTATTTCTTTCTCTATGGACATCCAAAAATTAAAATGGAAGCTGATTCACTGGCGATTACACTTTCCCTGCTGTGTGCAAACGTTTGGAGAAAAAAAGACAAATCCTTTGCTAGGACTTTTCAAAAGT